GATACGGCCCTAGAACGGCTACAATTCATCATTATTTCTATTAATCGAGTTTTCTTGCGCTTTTTAGGAGAAAGTGTGTTTTTTTCTTTGGCACCAAATTTGACTTTTTTGCTTGTAGGTGGGCGATAGCGATGCAACGCTGTGTAGCGATACGTGGTGTCCGCTGATGCGATTGTTGGTGGAGGTCCTGGATACCAACCATATGGCCACACATCAGGCTGTCCTAGCAGCTTTTTCGTCGCTTTCAGTGAACCCATTCCAACTATTCCTGACCTATGCCAATGCACGACCACAGCTGACGATTTTCCAGAATTTGCTTCATCGAGCCGTTACCTATATTCTCTACACACTTTCATCTTCTCCATCTCCGCTCATACAGTATTTGTTCAAGGTAAGCCCATCCATGCATTTATTTTTGTTAAATCCTATATTATTGATGCCCAAATGTCATAGATTTGCTGTCACTTACTTATAAGTATCTATAAGCAAAAAGAGTGTGATATTGCCAGACTGGAACGCTCCGTTATCAGATTTTGCTTCAGGAACCGATCAGTACTAAGCAAATTCATCTTCCCTGATGGTTCAGAAATTAAACGCCCAGTCAGCAGACTATTCTTATAAACAGCTGTTCCTAATAATTAAATATAATGATTGTCCGTATCGTGTTTTAACTTCCCTTCTTTCCTTACTTTCTCACTTTATTTGCTCCTTCACTTACATCTGTTTCTTTCTCTGATCCGTCTTGCAAATCAGTTACATGACTGTTCAAAACATGGCAGGTAGGAAGCTGTACTGACGATTCCCACTTCTACCCGTATGCACAGTTCGGTCTTTGTATACAGCTAAGGGATGAAACACAGAGGCTGCGTCATAAAATGTCTTCATAAACATGACATTCAAGTGAAATCCTATTCTTCTATTTCGATACTTGATACGGCGTTTCCGTCACTGGCGCTCTGTTGATCTTCTCCAGTGACTGCTGAGCCGACAGCCACACCACCGAGTTCTATTCTGAGCTCGCCTCATCCATAACACTCCATGTAATTGAGTTATCGGATCGGACCAGCTCATCGGTGGCCTTTCTACTGGCCTTCTAACTGGTACTTAATGCCTTGAATTTGCATTATTGCTGTAGCAACAAAATTTCAACCAACGGTCGCAAAAAACCACTTGACAATTTCACCCTCTTCAGCGGCACTACTTTTGGACTGTCCAGTTTTGGTTCAACCTTCTGTGGCTGTTCAATTTTGTTGTTGATATCTAGTTTCTTCCCCAAATTCGATGTTATAAAACCATTTTTCAGCGTTGAGCTACATCGTTTTATGCGAGATATTCATTGACTTATTGCTACGAAGAGTTTTTAAGTTACTGTGAATAATTGCTGAATTTTTAAGAGATCTGGGATTTTTAGGATGTGGATATATTAGGACAAACATTAGCTGGATGTGACTTATCGCAAGGCGACTTTCTTAATGGTCTGTCCAAACGGACACTGCACGGTTTCTATTTAAATTTGGCATCATCAATTCGATGTGCATCGGAATCCTCGCCCAACGCCGAGCTGATTTCTTCACTAATTCAAGGTAAGATATAGTTTTCCACACACACCGAACTTTTTCGTTTGCCATTTTTGGAGCTTAATATTCACTATTTCTGAATTCAGGGGCTATCCCTAGTAAGTGTTTTAGAAATTTTTTTTTAAAAAAATGTAAACTATGAAGGTTTGTTTGGCACTATAGGCCAGCCGATGAGAGGAACACAGTCGAATATTGTCAGTTGTGGGAAAGCAGCAGTGAGTGCTAATTCAGATACCCAGATAAGC